CTTTACTGTCCTGTTCCTGAAAGAACTGCGTTTTCCCAAAGCAGGAGGAGAAATGTTCACTTAACACCCGGGCTTTGTGCTCGGATAGAGAAAGATCTCTCAGTGTTTCCTCAGTGCGTTGACAGATTTTTTCCAGTATGTCAATAATAAGCCCCTGAAATCCCTTGCGTTCCTCTTCAATGTTTTATTTTATTTTTATTTATCCTTTATTTAACCAGGTAAAAACCCATTGAGATTAAACCTTTTCAATTACAACTAAGATGCTAAATAGTTTTGATTTGGTATTGACTTTGAAGTGCTACCTATTGCAATACAATACTGTCACTCTCTATAGCAAAGCTCTCCCACATATTAAGCTATTGTAACTGCGCTTATTTCGTCGTTGGTATAAGTGGCAGTGGGTGGAATAGACAAGAAATGTGCATTTTTCTACCATCTTGCTAATAACGTTTCTTTAGTCATTCGGCAGTCTTGCAGCCTGAACCCCTGCAGGAAATCCACCCTTACAATTGTCTATGCTGATCTCTGATTTCTGCCTGTTTGACTATTCTTAATAAACCACTGCAAATGGATCCGAATCATACCTGTCAAGTTTTGGATTTGAAAATAAGGGAAATGTTCCGGTGCCCACCGCGAACAGTCCCACTCCCACCAACGCAGTATCACTTACATTTTAAGACAGGTGTTATAGCTTAAATGAAAACACACACACACACACACACACACACACACACACACACATACACACACACATATATATATATATATACACATTCTTTTCATTTCATATTGCTTTTCTTTTAAAGTTTTTCTTTTCGTTTCACATAACCTTTCTTTACTCTCTTAGTGAGTTATTGTACAAATATGTTGCAGACTTTGCATTCTTTAAGACTTTAATTTTTACATGAGAGTAGAGCAGTTCTGTTGTCTATCTCTATGTGTTGTCTAGTCATACTATTTTCGGCAACAATCTTTCGTACCATGCTAAACACCATTTCTTGTGCTAACACATCATTCCTTCCCCCGTGTGAGATGCAAAAGTCGCAGTTACAAAAGGCGTGGCCTCTTTGTTTTCCCTGCGTTGTCACCACAGAGTTGTCACTCATCATCTGACTTCGCGACAACTGTCACCTCACCTACAGTACCTGTAGTTATTGCGAGGCAAGTGACAGAGCTCAGATTGGGAATGTTTTTTTTTTAATCCGCTCGGGCCTCGGGGGTATTATTATATTTTAATAACGCAGGTTAAAATACTGGAGATTTACGGGAAAATACTAATACGGGAGGACGACAGTAAAGAAGGGTAAAATACGGCACTTTCCCGGCCAAAACGGGATTCTTGACAGGTATGATCCGAATGTCTCTGACTCCTTATCACACAGCTGAAGCTCCTTAGATTATATTTAAAGGGGGGGTTGACTGCTTTTTTTCTTTGCATGATTGTGTTTATGGGGTGCAATATAACATGTATTCGTGTTTTTTTCTTTTTTTTAAAAGTCTTATTTTTCATAAACTTCACCTTTATTGTCAGCCGCGCTCTCCTCTGTCCTCGAACGACCGGTTCACTTCCTGATTCTATGAAACCACTCCCTCAGAAACACGTAGTGGGCTTAGATTGGTTAGTTTGGGCCGGTGTGTTGTGATTGGCTAAACTGTAGCTCACGTTGTCCGGAAGGTTCACTCCCATTATTACCTTTACTGGCGAAACGTGGATGCGCTTCGGTCCAATGCAGAGCCGCTCTGATTGGTACAGTAAATAATGGTGTCGATACTGCAGTATCAGAGCCAGATTCAGACCCAGAAAGCGGCGATGAAGAGAGTCAAGCAGAACCTCACCACACACGGCTCTTACAAAACGTTTCTGAATGATAATTTGCCTATTTTTTTTATTTTTTTTTTACTTTATACATGTTTTACACTGACTGGCTACTAACGTTATATACACAAACAAAGTCACCATTGGTTTACATTCTTGATCAAATTGAAAATAACGTCATAAAACATATATACAAGAAAAATACATTTACAACATTAGTACTTATAGAAAATTCAGGTCCATAATGTTTGTGCGCGTTTGTCGTAGACACAGAATAGCATAACTAGTAGCCTAGTGGCTATAAAGCCAGCGCTGGCATTTGAAAAACATAAAACACAAGGCTACATCTGGAATTATACACGCAAATACATTTAAAATGATGAAGTCTTCGCCTACTTACAGGTTGCGGTCCAACAACTGCTGCCTCTGGTTTTAAAGTTGGATCTGCTTCATGTTTTAGTAACAGTTTCTTGTTGAATCCGGTGTTGAATTCGTGGAGATTCTGGAAGCTGTCTTCCGTAAATGCGCAGCACAGAGAGCTAAATTACGATCATCATTTTCAGGAACATAATCAAACATAAATTGTATCCATTGTTGAAGAAGTACAGCATCCGTGGGAAGCTCGAACACAGAAGACCACACACTCGACGTGCCTCAGAAATATGCGAATGCCCTTTCCTGCATATTCCGGAGGGAGGGGTTTATGTAAATGTGTGGGTTAGTGACGTACCATAACCCAGCTGTAGTCCCAATCCAGTCGTTTTTGTAGGCGTTATACTTCCTGATTTTAAAAAGACGATATCTCTGCTTACACTGAACTTTCAGCGCTGCAACTTTGCAGATACTGTTCATGCACCAACAGCAACATTACACACTATTTAAAATCAAAAAAGTGTAATCGCAATCAACCAGCCCTTTGACTGTAATGTCATTATGGACATCAGTGATATTACAGTACATTGGCGTTGTCTGTCCCTGTATTACGTCTTCAAATATTTTTACAGAGTTTTTTAAAATAAAATAAATAATTAAAATCTGAAGGAATAAAAGCCTGATTCTAGACTCTGTATGCATGTTACACCTTGTTACACAGTTAAAGATACACATTTGTAACACTGGTACCTAAAATAGATACGGATTTAACATCTTTGGACAATTTTAGGCCAGTAAGTCTTATTATTGTGGACTGTAAGGTGTTAGAATAAATGTTAGCTTCACAGTTAAAAGGTTACCAAGTAATCAATAAGGACCAAGGACTTCATTAAAGTGTATGCTTTGCTTAGAAAATATCAAAGTAAATAATATTATAGATATAGTTTAGATTCCATTCTGCATCTTTATAATAGAAGTAACATGGCACCTGAACACAGAGACCTCAATACTTATATTCACAATGAAAGTAACATTCGGTAGATCGATTATGAGTATGAATGTGTCATTTTGATTAGAAAATTAATCCAGATGTCACAAAATGGCAAGTTACCAAACCCAAAAACAAAAGTAATGATAAAACAACCGTATTAATTATTCATGCCCCATTGCATGATGGGAACACTATTAGAAAAGTTGAGTAGGTTTTACTTTTTATATTGTTGATGTTTATGCTTTCATTTCTACAAGCTTAAATTGAGAACACATTTAAGGAATTTACTTTTTGCCTGAACTAACTTTTTCATAAAGAAATTACATTTGTTTTTGTTTTTTTTTCTGTAGAGTTTACTCACGACAGAATATTTTAATCAGCAGCCGATAACATGAGAACGCTAATTCATCTGAGCTAAATTATTCTGAAAACGTCTATATCGCACTATATCCTTAGATGCTGAAAAGGCTAAAAATATATGACTAACCCTTAAATTTGACTGTGACGGCCGAAAAGCCCCACTCCAACCGTTCGAATTTTAGGTTTGGTCATATTTTTAGTTCCGAGATTAGTTTACTTTATCGAAATCCTAGAGTGGCAGTGATGACAAATGGCACGATATCCTCATTTTTTACAGTATTAAGAATATAAATATAATAGAATATATAACCTTGGGGTTAAACTAACACAGAATATGGAGGATATAATGATGTTGAATAATGAACCACTGCTTTCGAAGATAAAACACACGTGTGGACACATGGGCAAGCTGAAACTCTCTGTGTGGTGAAGTAAATATTGTCAAAATGGGTATTGCTCCACAGTTCAATTATACATCCATGATGATGTGAACACTCGATACCCTATCTTTAAACTAGATGACACAATTATCAAGGACTTCTTTTTATCAGAAGGGAAAAGACTAAATGAGCAGTTGATCTCCCTAAGGGACACGAGGACTCGGATGACCTGATTATTATGTGTTACATCTCTTTTGAAATGACCAAACTGGATAAATATTGGGATGATATTCTTAGTTGGACTGAATGTAGTGATAATATTGACTGGATCAGAACAGAAACTGGCCTCCCCATTTCATCCCATTAGCATTATTTATTTCACAATCCTCTGGAGCTAAAATCATACCTGTTAACATTTGCTTTTCAAAATCTGTGCGGGGATGGCTAAGTGTTAAGTGCCTTAATTGGCGTATTGCAATATAGGCCTACTTATAAATTAAAACATAATTAATTCATATTTCTTTTTTTTAATTTGTTATTTTATTACAACAAAACACCAGTTTCACACACATTTCACAATTTTAACACATTTACAGTTCATTTCATGAGCATCAATATCTGTGTCTCTCTTTTGTTAACATAAGTACAGTATTGTCTGTCTTGTAAACATGAATATGTGCTGACTGTTTGAGCGTAACTTTATTTTAAAAAAGTGTTTTATTATTTTATAATCTAGTTTAAATCTGGCATAGTTTGTGGCTTTTAGACCGTGGCTTTGTATTGATGTGTTATTGTAATCAGTGTCCTTCAGTGAACCTGCAACAATGCCGGAATAGACTATTCTATTCTATTTTAGACTAGACTATTCTATTTTTTTTTTTAACAGACTCACAGACTTTAGTTCATAAAGTATGTGAGTCTGTAAAAAAAAGCGTAAAAAATCGTCAATTTAACTTAACTTAACTTAATACACATCTTGAAACATCCTGTTCATGTGTAGGCTATCTGTTCTGCCGCTGTTTGACTGTTCTTCCTCTTTCGGGGCGGGAGAGAAAGAAGAAGGAAGAAGAAGAAGGGTGGAGCATTGAAAGTTTGCTGTTGTTAAATTTGTTTTTTTTTTCAACGATTTAGACTTTGCTTGCCTTTGATTTATGTTACGAAAATGGTTTAAAACTAAATATAATATGTCAGATCCGTATGTTAAGTATAATTTAGTTTCTATCGTCGCGCTTTAAAACTCAAGAGTTTCTCCGTTTCCACTCGAGGACTTCAAGCTCGAGCTTCTGTTTCCTTGTTCTTTAGGACGCAAAATACTGAAGCGCTTCGATCAACGCTGCAACCAGGTCAGTCTAGTGTAATGGGTTATATTTTACAGTTATCAGTAGGTTAACTGTATTTGAGATTTAATTTGCGAGGATTAAATAATGACGCACCGAAAATCTGACCAAACCGAAACTGAAACCATATGTAAAACCCTGATATGCAAGAATACTACTGATTGTATGTGTTATATTGTATTCATTATACTCTATTCTATAGTCTTGCATATTGAATACTAATGCAAGACTAGTAGTCTTACATGTCACTGTTTATAACACAGAGAGCGTTCATCATTTGCTGGGACGCTTAAAGAAATATTGGGGGCATAAATTAAGAGTATACCCACTTCTCCAGGCACCACTACATCACTGTGTGAAGATCTTCTGTGATCTGGAAACATGGAGGGAAAAACCCTATGAGTTAAACCTTATATTCATGAACCCTATATGAAGTAAAACTATTAACCTGAAATCATTTAATTTTAATACATTTTATATATGATGATTTGATAGATTTGTTATTGAATTTGTAATACATTTTAAGTTCTGTAACAAGTATGCCATCATACATACCATATACCAAATGATGTTTTGATAATTGTTTTGCCTTTGTGCAAAATGGAAATATTATTTTAGAAGGACAATGCGTACTTTTTTAGGTATTGTATTATCTAAAATCAATATTTTTATTTATAAATAGGTCATCAATTATGGTGTACAAATACCTCTGCCAATTATCTGACTTATCCTCATAAACGAAGAATTTATTATCTTTATATACATTGGACGGGTAATACTAAATACTTAAATACTATATATAAAATTAAAAAAAAAATGTCTAGAGATAATGGGAGTGAATGGTACATTAGATGTTGAGGCCCAGAAAAGCACATCCATCATTATAAAAGTAATCCATACGGCTTGTAATGCTACGTGACATTGTTTACAAGCGGTTTTATTTCCGTGGAGGAAACACAGATTGAATGATTACTCCAGACAGATATTGTCAGTAAGTTCTTCTAAATCTTTCAACATGTTCATTCATGTTTATTCTGTAAATGATCGTGAAGAAGAGATGAAGCGTTCTCTCACGTTTAAATCACTGATCTCAGTGTTTAATCCCTTATCAAAAGTGTTATATTATTAATAGGCTTAAATTTGTCAAGTACACCACTTAATACATAACTTAAATTACACCACTGTGAAATACAGCAAGAGTTCCAACAACACTCAGTTATAAAGATGGATTGTCATGACCAAAAAGAAAAAAAAAAAAAAAAATCTAACAGCATCCTTTAGAGCATAGGCGCAGCCATGGGTGTGCCGGTGCCACCCACAGTGCCAGCTGGCACACCTAAAAATAGTTGCAGAACTATTTTCTGAATAAAAGTCTTAATAATAAGTCTAAATAAAAATTGTTTATTTTTTATTTATTGTTATTTTTAACTTGGAGTATTGTTGTTTACAATATTTGCACATTTAAAATTTATTTACATTTTTTAATTATTATTGTTAAAAAAAATCTATTTAGATACAATATTGACTGTTTTTGTAGCAAAAATAGTTCCAAACAAAAACCACAGCACATCTCACTGTAACACAAAACCGCATTACTGAATGATTCAGCACTTTGAACGAATCCGTAAAGATTCAATGATAGTCTTAATACTTTATTAAGAGGATATGTTTCCCCCCTAAAGATGCATAAATATGACCAACTCTCTAATGTCAGTGGTGACAGTGGTTTCAGTGATTCCTCAAATAACAGCATCGGACAACCTCCTTCATTCGGTAAGTACATTTCATCATGAATTTAAACGACATTCATTTTGTGTTAGCAGCTTTAAAGGGCACCTATTATGGAAAATTCACTTTTACATGGTGTTTGAACATAAATGTGTGTTGGCAGTGTGTGAGCAAAACCACCCTAGAATGATAAAAATCCACCCAGTGGTTTTTTTACAATCTCAATAAATCATGTGCACTGTCTCAGAACGAGCTGTTCTGAGATTCAGCTCTTTGTGACGTAGAAAGTGAGCAAGGGGTTTGATTGACAGTGTGGTTGTGGCATAGACCCCGCCCTCGGTGATCTGTACACACCGTCCTCCATTGTTACAACGACAGCCGGTAATGTCTCTTGGAAACATAAGCGGGTACCGCTTCCTTTTACAGTACAGTACATGGAACAGGGGTAGGTTCAGGGTTAGTACTAGTTATTACCCAGTAATTGTAATTACTACAATAAGTACATAGTATGTACATGGGTAACAGGACTGTAAAAGGAAGCGTTACACATGGATCCAATACAGAAATCCCCCATTTAGCATTTTATTTTTTTTGTGGTTAATTTTTAATTGGTCAGAGGTTATATAATTGTTTATCCATATTATTATGTAGGCATAACAATAGACCAAATTAATTATAATCAACACCTGCAAGTGTACACATTGAAGAGTAAAAATGAAGTTTAATTCAACTTTATTAAAGCTCCATAATATGGTAATCAAAATGCACTTCCAAAACAAAAGTCATACATTTGTGAAAAAAAGTAAAAAATGAAATATAGGAATACACAAATTTCTTTTTGAAGTATTATAAATAAAACATAAAAAAGCAAAGGCAGATCAGAACATGTAATGAACAAGCACAGGTGGGGATTGTGCGAGTGAACGGCCATTAACGGTGTCATGTTAGATAAGTTAATATCTAATGATCTTTGCAACGGAAGTGAATCAATCAAAACTAACTTTAGCTGGACAATAACTTTATTCTAGAGCTGCTGTAAAGCCCAAACAATATGTTACGGTAATTTCTATTACTGTAAAACTGTTTTGAAACAGTCCAAAAAGCCCTTTATAAATGAAGGTGACTTGACTTGACAGGTAGGCTAACGTTAAACTTGCAGAGAACAAAGCAAATCCGAGCTTCACATGACAGAACTGTACTAGCATGAGCAAACATGATAGCATAAATAGCAGACAAATCAAAGGAAAAATTGTCTGTGCATTTACAAAAAATACCGTGCAACAAGTACGCGATTGAGTCACTGTCTGTTCAAGAAGTGCTGAAATCTCAATTACTCATCATTAGTGTATTTTTGTGCTAATCTTCTGTGTTTGGTGGTTTGTGGTTTCGATTTTTCATGTTTGTTGTAGGTATATCTGGAAATTACCATAGTTGTAGTATTTCATCCCGGTGACGCCTTGGGGTGAGAATGCGTTGTTCATCCTTACTATTGACATCAGCTGTTAAAGTTTGACTGAGCACTGAGAAAGACGCAACTGAAATTATTCAATAAACTGCTCATTTTTACAATCTCTTGGCCTCATTTAATAATCTCAGTCCACTTTGTCGCTAAACTGACCGAAAAAAGCTCAGGTGTGGTGTGCATTGAATATTGTTATGTTCTGTATTGTATAACACAATTTACTGTTTTGTTTAAGTACTGAATTTGAACCTCTTGTCCTTTTTTCATAACAGCATTAAACATGGGTAATTCATCACAAAACAAACAAAATGATTCCAGAGCTGCAGAAATAGCAGGTGAGTTTAATTAAAGTCTGAATGCTCCTATAACATAGCCTGGTTAAAACCAGACCATTCTCAGTTGTAAAGCGTCATAGACAGAACATTTCCAGAGGGACGTCACCAACGGACGTCGCGGGTAGACCTAAAACCAATCAGAGCGATGAAGGAGATGACGTATGCAGAGTGGCGGCCGGCAGAGAAACATCCGAGTGTTGTTCTTTGTTCGGTTTAACAAAACGTTAAAATCGCTTAAAAACAGAGGCAATAGCTGATTTGAATGAGTGATGTTCGACGGCGGCGTCCATCTTTGTAATGTAGGCTACAAAATCTGCTTCAAAATCCCAGCGCTGTTGTCATCGTGTAAAGCCTGCCCCGTCGTTTCTGATTGGTGCCGTGATTTCGACGGATTGGAAATGGGCTTGAATGAGCTCTTTGCCAGACTAACTTTCAGAGCAAATTTAAAGTCCCCGTGAAATCAAAATTGAACCTATTTACTTTGTTAGCGCATATATTACTAGTCTTGTGATGAACAATTAATCCGTGCAAGTAAAAATATATTTAAAAAATGTTTTACCTTGGTAATCTTTAATCAAAATCTGAAAAGTTACTTCCGGTCTGGAACGGTTTCTTTTTCTGATGACGTAGGTTTCACAGTTTGGGTGGGGAAACGCTTAACCACTCCCCTCAAACCGTTAGTTTGCTATGAGCGAGAGATGGAGAGGAGGAGCGCTAGAGTAAAACCCTGCCCTCTGTTCAATATTCCGTTTCAATCGGAAATACGTCACAGCACTGGAGAAAAATCGTTTGCAACTTCCGGTTCACGGGGACTTTAAATTTACCGGAAGTTATCTGGGTTTTCCCAGGCCACCTTGACTGTGAGTGTCTTTGTGATTTGCATATCTAAACTGAGTCTTACTGGCCTTTCTAAGCTGTGATAAAGTAAAAACCAAGACTTCTCTCAGTTTAATTCACTAAAACACAGAGAAGTGAGCTTCAAGATGTTTGTGTGTGTGTGTGTGTGTGTGTGTGTGTGTGTGTGTGTGTGCCTGTTACAGTTGTTTCTACCTTCTAATTTTTATTCTCAGACATAAAAACAAATTCACACAATGTCAATATAAAATAATTAAAAATGAATAACAGATAAAATAAGAGACATACACAACATTCACATAATATTATTATGCTGATAAGCAGCTTTAAAAAGATATGTCTTAATAAATAAGCATAAGGTAATCAGATACTGAATACATAGTAAATAATTTTTTTGCCAATAATTTTTTTTTTTTTAGTAATATTTGTATTTATATAGTGTTATTTTTGCTAATGGTAGTCTTCAATCTGAATCTTGATTGTAGAAGTGTTAAAAAAACACGAGTTCACCATAACAGAAGAACTCAGACGAGGGATTTCTGGAAGAGTGTTTCTGGTGAAGAATCCAGATGAAGATTACTTTGTGGTCAAAGAGATCAACTACAGAGATGTAAGTACAAGCAAGA